CTGCGTTTTTAGTCTAAAACGCAGAGTTCGGGCCCAGAACGCCATTTTCGGCGTTTGACTCGTTCAAACACGAACCGAACAGTTCCAGGAACCGTTTTTCCCCCAAGATTTGAGGGATTTCCTCCCCACTTAGGAGCGGATTAAGGGGGCAGTTACCACCCTTAATCCCATATAAATACGAGAAACTCAATTGAGTTAAGTGATCGGATTTTGTCTCATCAACGGAGGAAGATTCGGTCAAGAGCGGGCTTGGTTGATCGGAGGCTAGCTTTTTGGATCTGAAGCTTGGCAGCAAAGAAGAGCCTTCATCCTTCGGCTGGGATTTTGGAGATCGGCAATAGGAGCTTCTTCATCCTTGGCTTATAACCGACTTTCGGTTAAATCAACTCTTCCATAGAGTTTCAAACTCGTTCAGAGTTATCAACTCGATCAGAGTTCAAAACTTGCTCTGCAAGTTCTTCTAAAACTCGCTCTGAGTTATTAACTCGTTAAGAGTTATTTTCAAACTTGCCACGCAAGTTCTCCACAACGTCAAATCATGAGGAGAAGACCACGTTCCAGTGAAGCAAAACATCGGATCGTCAACGGAGAGCAAATTTGACGCGAGCATTCGAGAGAGGTACTCCATCGCCATCGTGAAGAACCCAGAATTAAACAAAGAGGAGAATCAAATTCATTCTCTTCTCTTTTGTAATCAGGAAATCCAAATTGTAATCAAGATTGAGAGGGTTGTAATCATTCTTTTTCTAAGCAGTTAGAGAGAATAAATCAAATACGATTCTTCATTATTTTTCTTGTTACTACAAATTTTCCAACAAACAGCAACCAAACATCCGAAGCAACCTAATATCTGAAGCAACTCTACTAGATCAAAAATCTTTAAACGCAACAGTCGGTAACCTATGACTAAGATGACCCGAATATGTCGAAGCCCGAATACTAAAACCAATGCTCGACATCAAACGTCGATCCTCCTCCAGTAAGGAACGGCCCATCAAAACTGTCATCTCATCTCGTCGCCCCAATATTTCCTCTCTAATGAAGTGTCTCAAACTGCCATGAACTCGACACAAAACGCAGAAAATAACCTCTACCAAAATCAGAACAACGTGTTACCTTTTTTCCAATACACATCCTACACTTGTTGTTGACTTCTAGGACTTCATACCAACGGGACTTGGTTGCAACCCACAAATAGCTAGAACAGTCCCTAACGTAGGAAACCAAATATCGTTTACCTCCCAATGATGCCTCCTTGGAAGGCCCCCAAATGCCTGAATGAACACCACCTAGAAGACCCCTCGATCGATGGATAGAAGTACCAAACTCCACCTCAGTCTCCTTGCTCATACCAATGTGCTCACAGGACTTCAATCTGTAGGTCAAAACACTCCTCAACAATCCATGCACGACACCAATAATTGAATAAACCAGTCTCAACAAACATCACAGTCTAGTCAAATCCAAAGAAGTCGTCAGCTCTCTATCAATCACCATGCTCCCAATCAAATTATACAAATTCTTCCTCCTGACACCCTTCATCACAATCATGGACCCAAATGTGACCTTCAAAGATGCATCCTCTAATGTCACCCGATAGTCTGTTGTCTTCAAAACTTCAAGTGAAATGATGTTCTTCCTCAACTGCGGAACGAACCTCACTTCATCCAACTCCCGAATCACTCTGTCACACATCCTAATATGAATGGTACTGATACCACCAATAAGGCATTCATGATCAACCCATGAGCACGACATCCCCTCTTTCCAACTCCTGAAAGGTAGAGAACCAATCTCTCCTAGGACAAATGTGGTAAGAAGCACCCGAATCCAACATCCACTCTATAGAGTCGACAACACAAACTGACGGTAGTGCAGGGCACGAATAGCCTGAAGAATCTGAATCTGAATTGTTACCACTAGCCTTGGCAATATTCACCTCTGAATCTTGAGTAGCTTTCCCCTTATTCTTCCCGGCTCGATCAACCAACTTTGGGCATTCAGTTTTCCAATGTACATCCTCTTTACAAAAGGCACACTGATTCCTACGGACTCTAGGATGTACCCCTCTAGACTGTGACCTCCTATTACGGTTTGGACTCTTTTCTCTTGCGACTAATGCCCCTGCCACTGGCTCAATTAAAGTCTCTTTATCCTTCTTCCGAAACTGATAATTCACAAGTGCAGCAGTGACCTCACTATACGAAAGAGATGTTTTCCTATTAATCAGAGTAAGAACGAATGTCTCATATTCCTCGTCAGGCAAGGAACTCAACAATAGCAACGTCTTGTCCTCATCTTCAACCATAACATCTACATTCGTCAAATCCGCAAGAAGCTTCGTGTAGTGATTCATGTGATCACCAATGGAGGTTCCTTTCTTCTATTGGAATCGGTAAAGCTTCATCTTCAAATGCAAACGATTTTCCACACTCTTGGTTAAATACTTGCTCTCTAGGATCTTCCAAATCTTCTTTGCCGAAGTCTCATTGATCACATCATGTTTTAAATCTTGAGTCAAACAAGATCTAATTACACCACACGTCGTTCTATTCATCTTCTTCTAAACCTTTTCCTCAATGTCGTTCGGTTTCCCGTCCAACTCCAACGTATCTTCCAAATTTTGCGCGTTGAGCGCATCCAATATTTCACATCTCCAAAGACCAAAATTATTAGTGTGTTAAACTTCTCCACGTCTATCTTCATAGAGTAGATATTCAAACTTTGGACGGTCTTCATGCCGGAAGTACCCACCACAACTCCTTCTTTCTCAGTCATTTTTCTCAAAGCACCAACAAACTAATGTGAGACAAACGAAGAATAGATCCAAACTAAAAAAGAGAGATTTTTACCTCCAACTGAAACCCTAACAAGGGCCTCCAAAAAATCTCACCCCCACACGACAGTAGACAATATCCACAATAATAAAAATCCCACATTTATCATCAACTGAAGCCCTAGACGAACTTTCAAAGTGATCTACTCCTCTAACTAGCCCAAGCGTAGCCCGAGCTCTGATACCACTTGCTGTGCACGGAAGCCACCAATCTTTATGCTTTGAGGAACCAAACCAAACGCCGAGAGAGAAAACCAAACAATGCAAACTAACAGCACAAATACAAACAACCAATTTTTACGTAGTCGGCAAGTTGCCTACGTCCACAGGGCAAGAAGGGGATGGGTTTTCACTAATAGAGAAGGAGAGTATAAACTGAGATTACAAATCACTCAAAACAAACCAACTAATCTCACCAACAAAGCTCTCAATCTCTCAAACAATAACCCTAACCAATAGCTCAGAAAGATCTCTCTTTTCTATGCTCAAAACAAACTCTTACTGCTCCAAAAAAATCCTAAAACGTGTGTTTGAATTTATATCAAACAGCAAACCTAAACTAAACAGGAAAACGAAATAAGACCCAAACCTGAATCGCGGTCGACCGCATTTGACGTCGCGGTCGACCAGACAAAACGACAGAACCCAAAATTCAATTACAGTGTCTGGCGGTCGACCGCCGAAATTGTCACGGTCGACCGGCTAAAAATCCAGAATATGTACTAAGGCGTGCACGTTGCCGGTCGACCGTGCCAAGGCTCGCGATCGACGTTTTTTTAGGTGAATGTTGCCGGTCAATTACTAAGGGGCTGTTTGGTGAATTCAAGATGTTGGCTAAGACTTCCCTTGAAGTGCAGTAAACTTTTGGCTGCGAGGGACCAAGTTGCCGGTCAATTACTAATTCAAGATGTTGGCTAAGACTTCCCTTGAAGTGCAGTAAACTTTTGGCTGCGAGGGACCAAGTTGGCCCACTCGCTAGACTGCATATTCCTTCTTCTCATTTGTGAAGACTGAAGAAGGCGTAATTGACCCTTTCTTGTATTTAGCTCTTTTAAAACTAAATATAAGTATCACAAAATCAAATTTAGATGTTAGACAATAAATACATCGGTAGAGTAGACTTCAAACAATAAGTACATCATAGATAAGAGCAATCCGTAACCAGAGTCCAAGTTAAGATATACCCATAGGGACGAGGATCACCACAGATCCATTTATTCCTACACGTTTTTAATGGGAAGTGATAAATGTACTACTCTCATTGCACTTATTTGATACTCTTACTCACAAAAAAGTAGGACCATGAAGACTCATCATTATAATTTTTATGTGGTGAGTCATCATGACCTTACTCTTTTGTACATGGGAGTACCAAATGAGTAGTACACTTAGCATTTTTCTTTTTTAATACTAATACTTAAGACTCCTTGGTATATAATCGGAGTTATTTCTTAGTTATTCGTGCATATATCGTAGGGGATAATATGGTCAATATCTATAAAAGAATAAGAGTGTCTCTATATAGTAGAACGTTTAAAGGATCTCTTTACAACACATTAAAGTTACAACACATTAAAGTTACGTGACAACCACTTGGAAATATGATTATGTGACAACCACATGGGAACATGACTATCATTTGTGCGCGAGACAGTCTTGGTGCTTATAGCAAATTTTGACAATAATAAGTTACTAACCCTTTATAGCACATAAACTGTATCCACTACCAACCCTTGTTTATAAAACCAAGTACGTCTATGAACAAATATGTAGCTCAAGCTGCACAACTATATACTTCTTTGTTTTTGTTGTTATCATACGGTTTACACCCACCAAACTATCTCATTGATAGCACCTTCAACAAAGAAGAAACCAGAGAGATAATATGTTGACCAGATAAAAATATGGGAAACAAGGAAGTTGGTGAAACTAGAAACTGAAATCCTAATACTTGTCTATCTCTTTGGTGCCAAGCAAGGATTGTCTCCTTGACAAGAATACACTTGTCTCTGAGAAATTTTAGGCCAAGGGATTTGAAGTTTCATAATGTTAAAAAAAAAAATACTGTCAATAAATCTGTAAGAAAATATAGAATACAATTGCTCTCATTACTTAAAATATTGAAAGACTGGAGATATTCTCTCTAAAGAGAACATAATAGATGTATGCCAAATAGGAATCTTCAAATCAGGATTAACGTACAATTCATGATAACAAAACACCACATTTTGATAAAATATGGTGAACAAAACAGAAACTGGTAACAGATACGGATTTCACAGTGATCCGTTCAACAATATCTGCCAGTATTTCCAGCATATGTTGTTTCAAATATTGACTCATGTCTAGTGGGTGCATCACATTTTTACATATAGATGCCATATAGGTTAATATCTTGCTAAGTTTCAAGCATGTCTATATTCACTTACAACAGCCCGAGCTTGAGTTGTGAGCTCTAAGATTATGTATGGTCCAATGGCTCCACTGCTGTCCTAAACAGGAGAATGTAAACTTTGTCAATAGAGAAATACAAGAAGCCTCCAACGGAATGTGTGACATAAGAACCAAAGCTTGTCCCCACAATGCAATGCCATGCTGGCCCATATGATGAATCAAATTCCTGTAAACAGAAATGACCAAACTTTAATTCCATTTATTGATAGTCCAAATTCTGTAAGCTTGATCAAGATGCATATGTGCGAAAATTTTGGCCCCATTCGATGAGATCAGTGCAAGAGAGAAAGTGGATCAAATGAGGGCCAATGTGTTGGTTGGCTCAAGCTAAACCTCATTAACTTACATGCTATCATGATTTGCTTCCTGCTTTGTGATGAACAAGAAGGGCCTATCCTTGCAGACTTAAAAAGATTGTAGACAGAAATCATCAGCAAATAGAGCTTCACAGTCTGCAATGACCTCAAACATAGTATATTATCTTTGTTTCAGGTTAGACCCTTAGTTTAGGGAGACCGTCAGGAAACAACTTGGGCTTCTTGAAGGAAGTCCCATCCATACTAGGCTACGTATTATACTAATACAGTTCTAGGCTATGTAAAATTCAGGACAGACAATAAATGGAACACAGTTGCATATCATCTTGTAGGTAGGGAGTATAATGTCGAATGGATCTGAGCAAGTCTAGCAACAGAACTTCCCTAATTTGTTAGGAGCAAAAACTTAGCAGGACCTATCCTTCTGGGACTGCAGCTGCTAAGCTTTTCATCATGTCTCCTCGAAGGCTCCAATGGTTTCATTTTACTATATCTTGGATTCCCGCACAGATTGGTGTTGATATTGGGTATTTTTTTTTTAATAAAGTTCATGCTATTGAGAAACAAGTCAAAATTTGTTAAGAGTCCTTAGCATAATCATATTCAACCGATAAATAATGGCATTATGGCACGTCCATGTACAGATCTTTTAGGGAGCGTTTGGCAACTGGGGGCATTTATGTCGTTTCCATTTATTTTTTCAAAAAAAATGAAACGTGTTTGGTGAATGTGGTGTTTTTTTTTTACCTGGCTCATTAAAAATCCCAAAAATAAACAGTTTTCTCAAAAAACCAAAAAGGTGTTTTGAGTTCCCGTGACTCTCCGAGTCGCCGTTGCCGCCTCCACGTCTCCAGCACTCTTTTCTCTCTCCCTCTTTTGTGTTTTCTCCTCTTCTTTCACCACCAAAGTTCCAAACCCGACCCCCCTCTTCCTCGATCGCCGGAGCCGAAGGCCCTCCTCGTCTAATCTCCACCGCCGAAACCCCTCCTCTTCTCCTCCCCAGCTCTCTCTCCTCCCCCAAACAATACCCGAGCCCAAACCCTAACTTGTTTGTCCTCCCCAAATCCTCACCTCCGGACACCTTCAATTCAGGTAAATTTATTGTTTTCGGTTTTTTAGTTCAATTTCTGTTATTAAATCTCTGTTTTGTCAACTTTTATAACATTTTTGTTAAATTGCATCTGAGCTCTGCAAAGGAAAATATTACAATTTTTTCAAATTTAATAGTTCCCATGAACATAATGATATATGATCAACACATATGTTTGAAACTTTCAAAATGGTGTTTACAAAACACTTTTGAAAAAAAAAACACCATGGCATGGTGATTTTCTAAAAAAACACAACAAGAAAATCACCTTGATTACCAAACACACCCTTAAATATATTCATTCAGCTAGCTGCAACTCCCTGCTGATTCTTTAATAGGTAATTTCACTCCAAAAATCATTCATTTAAAACCATTTGTTATATTCCAATGCTAATCATTAAATTGCCTAACTTAAGTTGATGTATCTTCTAATTCAGATGTTTTGTTGAAATCAAGAAATGAATTTAAAAGTATAACATGATTTGTTACCTAACTTCTTATCTACAGTCTACTGCAAGTTTATTTGGAGGACAAGATATGAAGTAACAGTATTTACGCCATAAGATGCAAAAATGTTACATCAAATGGACCAACTCCGATGGAAGGCGAACATTCCACAAATGCCACACAATAAGGCAAATGAGTACACCCATGCAAGAGTGTTCCTGTTTACTAAATTGATAGAGATCTTTTAATGCAAGAACATAAATCAAATGGAGACCAGCTCAGATGGAAGAGGAAGAGCTAACAAGTTCCGTACAACAAGGCAAATAAGTACACACATGCAAAAGTGGTCCTGTTTACTAAATCAATAGTCTTAGAAACAAGAGAGTATTGCATATAGATCTTTATATAAAAGACTTCTGAACTTAGTGAAGTACAGATAAGAATCACAAAACTAGAACATGAGGTAAATAGCCAATATTAAATGTCAAACAGGAAAGAGAACACCGATAAATATTGTTATTCTGCTAAAATAGGAGCTTATACAGGCCATCTAAGCTCTTTGAAAGCGTCTACTGAAAGAGAGCTTCCTGCATTCCTAAGCCCATACTTGGTCACAGATGCATCTACTAGATGGTAAGTTTAGGCAGATCTAGTGGCTAGTTGTCGGCCTAAAGTAGGCGTCCGCAATAATTTCCAAGAATACTAATAAGTTCCACTTGCCTATTTTGAGGTGAGTATGTTGGCTACATAGGCACAAGTCATGTGGTAGCATCCAACTAGCCCATAACTGGAGATGAACACAGTTAGGGAGTCATTTCATCAGTAGTTACGAAAAACAACTTCCCACCATTCAAAAAATTCTTGAATACTCCAGTTATATATTATGGGTCAAAGTTTTATGGTTTATGCATAACTTGGGCGTGTCCTAACCGCTCAAAACACTGAATTATGGCATTTTACACAGTTAATAGCATATATTCTAATCATATTAGGCAACTGAGAATAATTGGCTATATATTTTAAGCATATAAATCTGTCAGAACTCTGACTCCAAGAATCTCATGACTAGCCCATGTAATCCAAGAGTTATAGATCATAAAGCTAGATCAGGAGAATAAACAAAGATCAAAGTGCAAGGCATTTAAGCAATCTAAGGAAAGTCAATAAAAACTTTTATCCTTCCGATACCTTCAAGACATGAGGAATGTCACGTGATTCTATAGTGTTGCAAACCTGTCTAAGAGCCTCAATATGACCTTATTTTCACATACCTAACGGCCAGGAAAACTGATTCATATCGCATCCTTCTACCCCCTAGTTACAAGTTATCTGTCTATTTCCTTTGACTATAGTTTCCTTAAGTGGTAATCCATTTAAACCCACACAATTTTCGACGAATGGAAGCGATATCTTAGCAAATCGCCAAAAAATTTTGAAAAACCTGCACAAAAAAACATTTTGGAAGTTGCTTAGGTGCTCCAAGGGGGGTACTGGAAGTATCCCATCTTCTAATTACTCATGCATGATGCATCAAGTGGTTCTGAACATACCAGCTTTATACCAATACAGCTAAAGAGACAATACGAAACATGAGTTAGAAGTCTCAAAAACATCAAAATTCATTACAGATGTTTTAAAGACATGTAGATCATGATAAATGGATGAAGTTCATGGATAACATATCTCTAAACACATGATATCTCATTGATAGACCTTTAAGATGCATACCAAGTTAAACACATCGAATGGTTCTATTTCATTTCATAATACGTTTTTTGCAACCATTGCAAAACTAACTTAGTTATATCCTGGTAGTACTAAAGCTCATGATAATTTATCGACTTTATCTGAAAATTCATTGCAGTTTTGTAAAACATAATAAAAGCCGAAATCTTTGTTGCTTCTGTAACAAACCCTCTCCACCTTTCTAAATTAGAAATTCGACCCCCAACCCCCAATTTCATATTTGTTCGAAATGGGGGTCTCACTTAGAACAACTTCATAGATTTGAGGGTGTAAAGAAAAATGTTGGGTATAATCGAGGAATATGAAGATTTGGGGTCTAATGTAGAAAAATAAATGACCTTTTTGAGGGCAAGAGCAATCTTTTTGCCATCGACTTTCCTCATCCCCTTCATCACCTCGCCGGCGCACCGGAACGCCTTCCGCTGCATCGCCGGCGCCATGTCTGCCGCCCTCACCTTCACGTTCTGCTGCTCCTGTGGATCACCATCCCCCTCCTCCTTAACCTCTTCCTCCTCCTCCTCTTCTTCTTCGGCATTGAGCTTGGTTCTCTGGATCAGAGAGCTCAGGTACCTGCTCCGCCTCTCGAGCTCCTCCGACGCCGCGTCCATGGCTGACTTCTTTTTCCTCATCGTCGCTGGTGACGTGGCATCGGAAGGCGAGAGAGAGAAAGGCAAGTTCTAGGGTTTTTTGAATTCGGTGTGTACGGGCGTTGAGGGGGAGTGGAGAGGAGGGAGACAATTTTGCAGATAAGGACGTAAATTTTGGATTATTTCAGGGCTTGTTTGGATTGAGGGGAATAAGGGTGAAGAGAAGTTAGGGGAACCATTCATCTCCATTCATTTTGTTTGAGAACATTTTAGGGGGTAAAATTATTCACTCTAGTTTTTCTTAATTCACCCCCTAATAGTATAAAATTTGTTACCCCCCAAATTGGGGTGTAACCAAGGGGAAAGGAACTCCCTTCCCTTCCCTTCCATTCTCTCACCTAGTTTCCCTTAACTTCCCTTCACCCTCTACAAATCCAAACAGGCTCTTAGACCTCCCTACTCCTTTTGAGGTCCCCCGAATGACAGTGGACGAGCAACCCGGTCCTCAAATTTAGGACAAATTTTGAAAACAAACTCTTTTGGTTCTTAATTATAAAACCGATTTATTTGCATCTTATTTGTCAAAATAGATCTAGTTTTAGTCATCTAACTGAAACTGTGTCGGTTTTGACGAAAAGTTGTCCGAAACTTCACGGGACTTCAAGTCCCGTGAAATTTTGTTATGTAAAAAACTTCACCCGTGAAGTTTGATATTTTTTTTGTCAAAACCGACCTAATTTTAACGAGATGACTGAAATTGTGTCAATTTTGATAAATAAGTTAAAAATATATCGTTTTTTATAAATAAGTTTCAAAATGAGTTTGTTTTCAAATTTTGTCCTTGAATTTGTTCAAAAAGCCGTATTATAAATCGTTATTGCTGTTATGGATGCGTGGGACCCAGATGGTCACGCTCGGTAGCTGGATCTTGTAGCCGGCCCGTCTCTTTCGTCAACTGTGGGCACCACATAAACTACGATTATTTAGAGACCCTTTGGTCTTGTGCTTAAGGCTTTACTTTGGGCCAATTAAGTCCATGGTTTAAAAACTCGGAATGGACCTTTCAATTGACATATTGGGCCGGCCCAAATTAACTCTAGGCTCTTGCTTCTAATGAACAGCGACAGTAGATGGTGTTAGAAAATACCGACAGAGAAGTAGGTCTATCTAAACGGGCCGGCCTAGCCCGAATTTCCGGATCCAGACCCGGCAAAATGCTTAGCCCCGATCCTGACCCGGCTCCTAGTCCGGACCAAATGAGTGCGGCTCCAAGCAGGGCTGTTTTTTTAATTTGTTTTTTTTTCAAAAAGTTCCTTAAATTTTAGATTATTCTTATTATATCTAATATCTAATACTATTATAAAAATGTGTTGGTATGTTGAAACATTCCTTCCAAAAATGCTCTTCAAACCACATACATGCATCCATAAAACACATACTTGCATACATATATATGCAAAAATTCTTAATAATGGCATAACTCTTCTATTAATTGTCCACTAATATTAACTTCTATTTTTTGTAACTCCTCCACTTAAAACGCACATATAACACACTAATAATATACGTTTCAATTTGCAAACAAAGTGTCAACTTAAAATGTCATTAGTGCATGCATTCATGCATACTTAAAATGAGAGTTACATTTTCAATTGTAGTTTTTATTTAAGAGGCAATTACATTTGACTGTTACGGAATCCAAAGAGCTTGCTTTTTTTTTTATCATAATAGCCCTTACTTGCAACCTATATAAATTCACTCATTTGATGATTTAGATTTACACTCGCCTCTTACAACCCTAACAACATCCTATACTCACCACATGTGTAAGGACCAAGAATTTTGATACTAGTTAAAATCATTTTCTGATAATTTAAAATATTTAATTATTATTTTCAAATGAGTATTTGTATTTATCTTGAATTTCTATAATTTTCTATGATTTAAAGTCTAAGTTTTGTATTTATTCCAATGATTTAAATATTTATAAATTTATTTAGTGCAGTAAATATTTCTAGAATTTATTCGTTGTGTTACCGATACTATTACGTATTATTTTGAATAATACGATGTATTATTATTATTAATACATATTATTTCATATAATACGTTGTATTATTATTACGTATTATTTTGTATAATATATTGTATTAATTCTGCTATTAATATTATCTGTCGTATTAATATAACTAGTATGTTTTACTGTGTGGATAATTATCCCATAAATATTTAATTTTAAATATAAGAAATTATATTTTTTATTAATTATTCTTGTTTAATTGTACAATTTCTTGTATTATTTCTACTATTGCATATTTTCGGTTATAATACCACATCTGGTACGTTTTGATGCGTAGATAATTTTCACATAATTATTTAATTTTTTTCGTAATTTATTATTATTTTTTATATTTTTTCAAAACCCTAATTCTCTCTATATATATATAATAATTATTTTCTTTTCCTTCTCTCTCCTTTTTCTTCTCCTTCCCAGCGAACCGCCAACCGCGGAGCATGGCCCGCACTTTTTGTTCTCAGAACCCCAACATTGGCTCGACCGACACCCGCCGCCGACGCACACCCAGCCTGCGGCCGTCGCAGGCGCAACCCATCACACACGCCATCACCCGACCACGACCGACGTCGACACTCCTGCCGTCGCCAAGAATCTGCGCTCACACCTCCGTCTCTCTCATACCTGCGTCGATCACCCACTCCGCAAGCCGCCGCCGCCTGAGCTGCCGCGCGTCCGCTCCGACGTCGTCGTACCTGACCCCCGACGCCACACCCCGGACGATCAGCCCAACCTCGCCACCGGCGCCGCACACACGACGGACCCCCCACCACCCGCAACCGAATCCACTACTCCATTCACACCGCGGGCCACCAATCACATCATCAGCCCCCGCCGTCCTCCTCTCTGTATCCTCAAGATCCCACACCCGCCGCCACCCATTCTCCTCAACCTCTCTCCCTTCATCCTCCCCTGTGCCGCCGCTCGTCGTGCCCAGACCCACACCTGTTACACCCTAGAGGGGGGTGATTAGGGTCTTGTGCTAATCTAATCCGATTTTATTCCAATTAAAAATAATTAACAAGTTATCCTAGCAAGTATGAAATACAACAAGTTATATGAGCTAGGATAAGCAATATGAACAACAAGATATATCCTAACAAAGAGATATAGGCAATGTATGTGCAAGGATATAAAACTAACACAAGGTGATATATCCTACCAAAGAGATATACAATATGATATATGCAAGGATATGTAAACTAACACAAGAGTAAACAAAATGAACTAGATAATGGATCATATAAATAATGAGCTATGGACAAAGGCGATATAAGATATGAACATAAATATAAATGAACGCCAAGGCACACTCAAACACACTATATGATCACGGAGTTCGGACCTTCCGTCCTACGTCTCCACTCCCCACTCCCGGGGAGAAATTCACTATCAGAACCGGGTTTTCTACGCTCACCCGAATAATGTGTACACCTCACAGTGTCGGTTTTCAACGCTCACCGAACAATGTTCACTCCTCACACTCGGTTTTCTAGTTCACCGAAAACTTCACAACACACTCGGTTTTCTAGCTCACCGAAACCTACAACACTCACAATGTGTAACAAATATAAATTTGTTCTCTACAATAGATGAGAAATCAATGAAGCACAATTCAATATTACAATCTCTCACAACCCTAATATACTATGTATGCAAATACAATAAGCTCAAGTGGGTGTGTGTAACAATGAGATAATATAATCAAATCTAAACTCAATATAAAAACTAGCTTTAAAAAATGATAATCAAATAACTAAGCAAATGTAAAGCTAGATAGAGTTTAGAAAACTTCTCCAATAGATGACAAGATGGAGAGATGGAGATTGGAGCCCAAACAAGAAGATGATCTCCTCCACTTGTGAAAACAATCTTCAAACCAAACAAACACTAAAACACACTTAAACCCTTGTTTAAAACTCTTTAAACTTGTTTAAAACATTTCTTGAGTACCCTTAGAAGTATGAGGGCATGGAGTATATATAGGCTCATGAAACAAGCCCAAAAACCCAAGAAAACCAAGCAAAAAGACAAAAAAACGGATATAACAAAATCTGGGAATTATAGCCGTTAGCTACAGTAACCAACGTCCAGAGACAATTTAAAAAACTGGATTACTGTAGCAGTGCGCAGATATTTTGTAAAATCAATTTAAAATAGTAAATGAACTCCAAAAATTATGAAATTTTGTGAGAATGTTCTAGACATGTAGAATAACATGTCAGACAAAGAATTTCTGAAAAATCTTTTCCCAGTTGAGAGAAATAAATATTTGAACACAAATTTACAGTTTCTGAAAAACTGCTGACATACACGATTTTGTAAAATCAATTGGGCACAGTAAATCAACTCCAAAAATAGTAAAATTTTGAGAAAAATTTCTAAACATGTAGATAAATATGTTAAAGAAAGAATTTCTTAAATATCACTTCCTATTTGTGAAAACTCATCAGTTTTGTAAAACATGCACGAACATGTGCACGAACAAAAACATGATTTTGTAAATTCCATTAAACATAACAAATCAATTCCAAACTTGATGAAACTTTACGAAATGTTTATAAACATGAAAACAAACATGTTAGAAAAAGAATTTTTCAAATTGAATTTCTAACTATATATATATATATACGAAGAAACCAATAAATGTGTGTGTATATGATATTGAGCTTAGAGTATCTAACACACATAATATAAAAACCTATACTTGATTACCTAAGCCGATCTTGATCTTCAATAAGCTTAACTTGGTACACTTTGCGGATGAAGCTTGAACTTGATCTTTAACTTGAATTGTATGTTGCTTCACTCCATAATTCCACCAACCTCCATTTGATATCGTCATTATGGTGCAATCCATCCATCCTCCAACTACGTTGTTTGTCTATAAATAAAAAAACATAAATACTAGACAAACAATATTAGTGGTAAATTGTTTGTTAAATATCATCAAAATAAGAAGGCCAACAATCTCCCCCTTTTTGATGATGACAAACAATTTACAAAAAGAAATGTATGCATGAAGGAAATGAATATATAATTTATAATATATCATGCATATAAGCAAGAAATGATATACTCATAATATTTCTCCCCTTTTGACAACATCAAAAAGGGGAC